CCTGGCCACACGGCCAGCCTCCTCGGCCGGCGGCGTGCCCAGCCACGCGCCTGCCCGAGCGGCCTGCGCGCCTCACCTTCTGGGGCTGCTCCCGGGAGAAGGCCACGTTGAGGTGGGTGAGGGCCCCCTCCTTCTGGAACTGCGCCAGCTCCTCGCGGTACAGGTAGTCCTCGTCCGACCGGCGGCAGCCGTAGTAGAGCAGCGTCTCGCCCACCTCCTTGCCTGGACGGCAGTGGGCCAGGGTGAGCGCAGGCCCGAGGGTCACCGCCCCGCCATGCAGGCGCCCACACTCACCCTGCTGCCGCAGCCAGGCCCGCTCCTGGATGAAGCCGAGGAAGGGGGCCACCCCGGTGCCGGGGCCCACCATGACGACGGGTGTGGTGGCCTTGAAGGGCAGGCGGAACTGGGACTTGCGCACGAACATGGGCACGAGGGCCCGCCGGCCGTTCTCTGGGGCCGGCTCCTTGGCCCGCAGCCAGGTGGTGGCCACGCCCTTGCCGGTGCGGCCCGTCTTGGTTTCGTACTCCACGGCCACGGCACAGATGTGCACGGAGTTGGGGTGCACCTGCGGGGAGGGCGGTGTGAGCCGGGCCACTGCCCCATGGCCCCTCCCGGCCCCGTCGCTGAGCTCTGCCGGCAGGCTGTCCCTGCCCGGCCTCTGCGCCCGCCCGGCGCCCAGACCTCAGAGGCCCCGGCAGCTTTCTCGCTGGCTCTTGGGATCAGGGTGGGAGAGGCTGGGAATCGCCCTGTCCGGCCCTGCTGAGGCCACAGCCTGGGAGGCTTCAGGGGACCGCCCTAGCCCTTGGGGCAGGACTGGGGCTCCAGGCTCCCATGCCGCCTCCGACAGGCCAATGCTCTGCCTGCTGGGAGCAGAGCCAAGCCTCCAGCACGGGCTGACAGCAGGGCCAGGGCCTCCGGCAGGGCCGCGCCCCCCACCTTGGAGGACGAGGCGATGGAGTAGTAGCGGGCCTGCAGGCGAGGCAGCAGCTCACACAGGTGGTCGACGGGGGGCCGCAGGGACCGGCAGTCCTGGAGGATGGCCAGGATGTGCCGCCGAGCCTCCACCACCCAGCTCAGGTACAGCTCCTGGAGGGAGACGCAGGCGCGGGTGAGACGGGTGCGGGGAGGACACAGGGCAGAAGCGGGGGCCCTGGAGAGGGCCGGGCCGAGGGCCTGCAGCGCAGGGCTGGCGTGCGTCGGCCCCGGGGCAGGCAGGCGTGGCGGCTGTACCTTGCCCTCGCCCGAGGAGGAGGCCATCTTGCGCAGGTGCTCCTGCTCGGAGGGCTCCGAGGCGTACTGGGCCAGCTCGTAGAGCACGTTGGTGCGTGGCGGGTTGGTGATGTCCAGGTAGTAGGTGAGGGCCGTGCGGTAGGAGGTGGGGCAGGGGAACGGGTGCTTCTTGTTGGACTCCTCTGTGGGGATGGGCAAGCAGGACGTGGGGTAAGGGGCCACTTTCTCGAGAGGGGTGGATGCGGGGGGGTGATGCCTCAGGCCTGCTCCGAAGGAAGCAAGGCCAGCTCTCTCTGCAGCCTCTGGGCCCCGGGGCCAAGCCTTGGGCTTTCGGCCAGGCCTTCGGCTTCAGGCTGGGCAGGAAGTCCTCATGGAGGCGGGACCTCACGCGGGCAGGCGACGTGGTGCGCCCTCCCACGCACCGTGCTTCCAGGCCACACCGCACGGCTTGCGGGACCCAGACTTGCCGAGGACGTCAGCGAGCGGGGCTGGGGTGAGGTGGGGCTGGTCCGGGACCGGAAGAGACTCGGGCTGGGAGCCCCACAAGGCCTTGGGCAAACCCCGCACCCTGGCCCAGAGCCCCTTGGCCCTCTTAGCACCCTTGCGGGGCCTGGGGGAGCTCGGGTTGCGACTCCTACACTTCTCCGGTGGGGAGGTGGAGGCCCAGGAGCCAGGCAGGAGCAGCCCAGGCCCCCCTCCCCGCCGGTCACGGTGGTGCGGAGGGAGCCGGGCTGGCTCCAGGCCACAGCACCCCTCCCCCCTGCCCCCCCTAGGGAGCTATGATGGTGATGGGGTGGGGAACCCCAAGGGAGACGGCCGGACCCTACAGCTGCTCTGCCTCCTCCCAGTTTGCTCCGGGACCCGCAACAGTAGGGTTCTGGGTGGAAGGGCCTCCCAGACACCAGGCTTCAGGCCTAAGCGACACTCAACCCACGAGCAGTGCCAAGAAGCGCGTTCCCACCAGCCACCGCAGGCCTGGGTGAGCAGGGGAGGGGCAGCCTTGAATCCAGGACTCACCATCAATATTGTTCAAGGAGATGACCGCATCCAGGTCAGCACCCAGGATCTCCCCCAGCTGGCTGACGAGGGCAGAGTCGTTGGCCGGGTAGACAGCCACATGGTCCCCAGACTCATACCTGGAGGGAGACGCCAAGGTCGGGGACGGGGTGGAGGGTCACCCCTGGCCCAGTCAGGAGGCCTGGAGTGAAGGTTCAGGGGTGGCAGTGGTGGCAGCTGGTACCTGATCTTGGAATCGGAGATGTCCAACTCCAGGTGCATGAAGTGTCGCTCAGCCCCCTGGTTCAGCTTCCGGTTGGTGGTGACTGCAGCCAAGAATGGATTCTTGGCATCAAAGGGGCTGGCGGGGAGACGGGAAGCTCCAGGACCGGCCAGGTCTTTAATCCAGACATCCCTGTCCCCACGGGGCCCTTCTGGCTGCACGCCTCAAGGGTGGCCGGGACCTCACCCGTTGTGTCAAGGCTCTTCCAGCCCGATCCAGTGCAGTTCCCTCAACAGCCCCACCGAGTGGGCAGAGCTAGGGTGTCACTGTGCCCAGTTACAGGTATGGAACCTAAGGCTGGCCCCTAAAGACCTGTGAGGCCCTCCACACTGTACCCATTGGTGTACCAAGTGCAGCGCAGGGCCAGGCCCCGGGAGTGCCACAGCCGGAAGGTCCTCAGGTGGCCCCGTGAAACAGCTCCCCACCCCAGGTGCCCTGGACTACAGCACAGAGAGAGGAGCTTTTACTCCCCCTCGAGACGTGGGGCTTCTCCCCCCCGAGCTGTGCCCCCTCGAGACGTGGGGTTTCTCTTTCTAGCCAGGCTACAGCAGGACTGACGGCAGCAGGGCAGCTGCTCCTGAGCCTCAGTGACAGAGGAATGTGGGTAGCACCGGGGGCAGCTGGGGACACAGAGAGCATCCGGTTTTGGACAAGTCCACCTATTGTGGTAGATTTTAAGGCAATGAGCCCTGTTGCCAAAGCCGAACCTGGACCCAGAGCCAGAGGTACTGCGTCCTTGCTAAGAACTGAGCAGTTACAGAGCAAGCCGGCGGCGCGCGTAACTGTGAGCTGGGCACGCGTCCGTCTCCAAAAGCCACGCCTGGCCTAGGCCCTGCCTGGGCTGAGGCGCCTCAGCCCAGAGCGGCCGCCTGTCACTTGGGCAGCTCCTCTCTCTGCTCCAGGCCTCACGCCCTCCTGTGCAGGGGACACTCGCGCCAGCAGGTGGCACGAGGTCTGGGGGAATGGCCCTGTGGGGATACAACGGGACTGAGCCCGAGACGTGGGCGCCCCGAGGTCCACGGAGCCATCTGTCTGCAACCACGCCCCCTCCACTCACGGTTTCTGGTTCTCGTAGCTCTTCAGCCGGCCCATCTCACCCGTGTACACCTTGGCCACGTCCATATCAGTGTGGACCACAAGCTCATACTGGCGAATGCTGAAAGGGGAGACTGAGGGTGAGACCGGGCACCGGGAGGCTGCAGGGGTCAGGCCTGAGAGGGGCGGAGACAGTGCACGGCCAGGTGGGGGAGGCCTGGGCGTGACACAGGAGGCAGGAGAGCCCTGCCGCAGAGGCGTGAAGGGCCGGGCAGAAGAGCAAGGAGCGGAGCTGTTTGAAGTCAGATGCCCGCGAGTGGGGCAGGGCTGGGCGGGACATAAACTTTCAGGTGATTCTGTGGAAGGAAAGCCCACGCTCCTTAGCTGGGACTGGGGACCGTCCCAGGCCCTATGGCTGAGGTCTGCCAACCCTTTCCTCGCCACGTCCCACTGCCCCCGCCCTGCCAGGCCCCCGCTCCGGGACGGCTGCCCTGGGGCACGGGACCCACTGGGACCTCCCACCCAGCCCGCGGGCACACACTCACCTGGACTCCTCCCCAGTGGCTTCCACCCCAAAGTGCTCGCACACGGCCGGCCAGAACTGCTCTCGCCAAGTGATGAAATCCTCTTCCAAGCTGCGGGGGGCGGGGGTGAGCAGGGACTTGGGAAACCCAACTGCGGCCACAAGGCCTCGCCACGAGTGGGCCTCACCAACAGCCGGGCGCAGGTGGGAGTGCCAGGCCGGCCTGGACCTGCGCCCCAGCTCCCATCCCCAAAGCTCAGGACGCCTTTTCCCTGTGGCCCATCAGCGACCTCAACCCAGGCATCGGGACAGATCCACAGGAGGGTTTACTTGAGAGGAGAGGCTTGCTTCTGAGCTGGGCAAGGCGGGAGCGGACACAGAGCAGCAAAGCCACTGGCCCAGCAGGGCCCGCGGAGGGAGGGCCCACCGCCTCCCTTCTCGTTGTGGATGACACATCCCTGAGTCTCAGCTGACCCCATGGTGGGCGCTCCCCTGCACGCTCCCCAGCCGACTCCCTAAGCCCGCAGGGCCTTCATGTGTGATGGCAGGGGTGGGGGCCTGGGGAGGGTGGCCCGTGTTCAAGCCTCGGCGGGCACTTACTTCCCGTCATCATCACCCATCCCCAGCTCAAAGATGCGCTGGGCGCCGAGCTGTTCCAGCCGCTTGTCCACATACTTGCCCATGGCATTGAAGTGCTCGTAGGTCTTGTTCCCCAGACCAAAAACCTGTGTGGACAGAGGGCGGCTGTGAGGTCTGGGATCCGGCCTGACGGGCAGGAGCTGACCTACGGGTGCACCAGGAGTACCTGGGCCTCTGTCCGCGTCAGACACCTTGCACAGTGAGGAACACTGGCCAGCCCGGCCCCGAAGAGGCTTTGTGTCGGCGACCTGCAGCTCACAGGTGCCCCCTCCACAGCCAGCCTCGACCCCACGTGGCAGCGGGGTGGGGGCCGCTCACCCTCCCACCTGGCTGGGCATCCTGCCAGACGTTTCCTGCCTTCGGTCTCCAGCCACAAATGCCCCCTGGAGCTGACTGGGTCTGGGGTCTGGAGGAGATGCCTCTCAGTGCCGGTGCCCAGGCCGGAGGAGAGGGCCCCGCCTCAAGCAGCCTGTCCCTGGGGTCCCCTCCAAGTCCTCTCTAAGGCCATCGGCTTGAGGCCACCTGTCCTGGCACCTGGGCCCACCCTGGCTCATGAGAACGGGGTGAAGGGCTGGAGCCTTTTGGACCTACGGGTCTGGAGGCCCCAAGGAGGTGCCGTAGGCCACCACGAGCCCACAGGGTCTGTGGGTGACTCACCGCAAACTTGACCCCCGAGAGATCCACGTCCGTCTCCTGGAGCCAGTCATAGAAGTCCTGGGCATTGTCAGTGGGGTCCCCCTCACCGTAGGTGGCCATGCAGAAAACTACCAGGGAGTTGTCGATCTCTGGCAGGCTGCTCAGGTCGGCCTGGAGAGACAGGGGCAGGGCCGTGCCCAACCCTGACTGAGCCTGCCCTGGGAGGCCCAGCCAGAGGATGTCCAGCTGTTGTGGGACCCAAGAAAGGGACAACTCTGTCTCCCTAGGAGGTATGCGGAGGGGTCGGGGATGGCCGGGCAGGGGGACTGGTGCTGGAGCCAGGGGAGCAGGACAGCGCTGAGGGTGCATTCTGGAGGAAAGCGAGGCGCAGCACGAAACGCATGGGGAGGGTGGCAGGGTGACAGCGGTGGCAGCGGGGGGGGGGCCTGGCTCCCAGGCCACCAGTTGG